AAAAGGAAAGAGGGGGGGGGGGGGGCGTTGCTAAGAGACGGTTGCTAGGAGACGGTTGCTGGGCAACGCTGCTGGGTACCATCACCTGGGCGGTTGCTATGTGCTGTTGCCAGGGGTGGATGCGGGGCCCGGTTGCTAGGCAACCGTAACCAGGGGGTGGGGATGTACCATTGCTGAGTCCCGTTGCCAGGCAACCGTTGCCACGGGCACAGCGCCTGGGTCCCGTTGCCAAGGTACCACCGGTGGGTGCGATGCTAGGAGGCGGTTGCTGGGTAACTGTTGCTGGGTGCCATCGCTTGGGGCCGTTGCCAGGGACGGATGCTGGGCATGGTTGCTAAGCAACCATAACCGGGTACCATTGCCAGGTTATCGGTGCTGGGTCCTGTTGCCAGGGTACCATTGGGGGGCTGGGGGCACAGTTGCTAGGCAACCGTTGCTGGGCGCAGCTGCAGGGGTTCGCTGCTGGGTACCATCACCAGGGTGGTTGCTATGTGCTGTTGCCAGGGCAGATGCTGGGTGCTGTTGCTAGGCAGCCGTAGCCAGGTACCATTCCTGAGTCCCGTTGCCAAGGTACCACAGGTGGGCACGGTTGCTAGGAGACGGTTGCCAGGTAACCATTGCTGGGTGCCATCAGGTGGGGTGGTTGCTCTGGGGCCGTTGCCAGGGGTGGATGCTGGGCATGGTTGCTAGGCAACCGTAACCAGGGGGTGGGGTGGTGGGTACCATTGCTGAGTCCCGTTGCCAGGCAACCGTTGCCACGTGCGTGGTTGCTAGGTCCCATTGCCTGGTCCCACCACTTGGGGCTGTTGCTAGGTAACGTAACCGGGCACAGTTGCTAGGCAACCGTAGCCGGGTACCAGTGCCGAGTACCATCGCCAGGTCCTCCTTGCTGGGTAAACATCATCCGGTTGCCAAGGCAACCAGTGTCCGGTTGCCAGGTAACCGTTGTCAGGCTGCGGGTGTGCTGTTGCCAGGCAGATTTCGGGGCTGAGCCACCATTGGTGGCCGCTTGCGAGGATGCCATTCGCCAGGAGACTATTCTGGGATGGCAACCGGGGTAACCATCACCTGGCAACCGCGGGGGGGGGGGGGGAACGGGACGGATGATGCCCGTTGCCAGGGTGGGGGGGGGGGTTGCTGGGTACCGGTTGCTAGGTAACGGTTGCCGGGTACCGGTTGCCGGGGTCAATAGGGGGAGAAGAGGAGGGGGGGGGCGTGTGTGGGGCGCAGGGGCCCGGGTGCGGGGCGCAGCAGAGCGGGGGCCAGGGGGGGCCCAGGTAAAAGGGGGGGCCCGGGGGGGCGCAGGGCCAAGGGGGGGGCGGCCATGGCGGCGGCGGCGGCCGCCAGGGCCAGGGGGGGCGGGAGGAGCCCCCCCCCCACCAGCGCCTTCGGCAGCTCCTTGGGGAAAGGCAGCGCAGCCTGGGGGGGGGGGGTGTTTAGTTATGGGGGGGCCCTATGGGGCACCCCATAGAGACCCCTGAGCACCCCCGAGATGCCTCAGCCCCCACCGCTTGCCCCCATAGAACATCCCCTATAGATAACCCCGTAAACCCCCCCATAGACACCCCATAGACACCCCGTAGACCCCCCCTTAGCCACCCCATACATACCCCATAGCCTCCCCATAGACCCCCGATAGACACCCATAGCCACCCCATACATACCCCATAGACACCCTGTAGGCCCCCCCATAGCCACCCCATACATACCCCATAGACACCCCATAGACCTCCCCATAGACACCCGATAGACACCCATAGCCACCCCATACATACCCCATAGACACCCCATAGACCCCCCCATAGACCCCCCCATAAGGACCCCCAACAGACACCCATAGACACCCCATACATACCCCATAGACACCCCATAGACCCCCCCATAGACCCCCGATAGACACCCATAGCCACCCCATACATACCCCATAGATACCCCATAGACCCCCCCATAGCCACCCCATACATACCCCATAGACCCCCCCATAGACCCCCAATAGACACCCATAGCCACCCCATACATACCCCATAGACACCCCATAGACCCCCCCATAGACCCCCGATAGACACCCATAGCCGCCCCATACATACCCCATAGACACCCATAGACCCCATAGACACCCATAGAACCCATAGACACCCATAGACCCCATAGACCCCATAGACACCCCATAGACACCCATAGACCCCCCCCCATAGGCCCCCATAGTCCCCCACAGACCCCCATAGCCACCCCATACATACCCCATAGACACCCCACAGACCCCCCCATAGCCACCCCATACATACCCCATAGCCCCCCCCATAGACCCCCGATAGACACCCATAGCCACCCCATACATACCCCATAGACACCCCATAGACCCCCCCATAGACCCCCATAGACACCCATAGCCGCCCCATACATACCCCATAGACACCCCATAGACCCCCCATAGACCCCCTCATAGACCCCCAATAGACACCCATAGCCACCCCATACATACCCCACAGACACCCCATAGACCCCCCCATAGACACCCCATAGCCTCCCCATACATACCCCACAGACACCCCATAGCCTCCCCATAGACCCCCCCATAGCCACCCCATAGCCTCCCCATAGACCCCCCCATAGCCACCCCATACATACCCCACAGACACCCCACAGACCCCCCCATAGCCACCCCATAGCCACCCCATAGACCCCCCCATAGCCCCCCCATAGCCCCCCATGGCCTCACCAGCTCGGGGGGGCTCCGCACCTTCTTGTTGCGGCTCAGGAGGGGGTTGGGTTTTCCGGCCACCCCATCCCGGTGCCTGCGGCTGGAGATGTGCTGGGGGGGGGGGGAAGGGTTAATGGGGGGGGGGGTCCCATTGGGGGGGGTGATGGGGACATGGGGGGGGTCCCATCCTTGGGGGGGTCCCATGATGGGGGGTCCATTTGGGGGTTCCCAATGGGGGGGTCCCATTGGGGGGGGGATGGGGGGGGGATGGGGGGGTCCCATTGGGGGGGGTGAGGACATGGGGGGGGTCCCATTTTGGGGGGTGATGGGGACATGGGGAGCAGGGTTTAATGGGGGGTCCCATTGGGGGGGGATGGGGGGCATGGGGGGGCAGGGTCCCATTGGGGGGGGTCCCATTGGGGGGTCCCATTAGGTCCCATTGGGGGGGTACCTTTTGGGGGGTCCCATCCTATGGGGGGGGTCCCATTGATGGGGTCCCATTGGGGGGGTCCCATTGGGGGGGGCATAATGTATAGGGGGGGTCCCAAAGGGGGGGGTCCCATTGGGGAGGGGATGGGGGGGTCCCATTGGGGGGGGATGGGGGGGGTCCCATTGGGGAGGGGGATGAGGGGGTCCCATTGGGGAGGGGATGGGGGGGTGCCATGGGGGGGGGATGGGGGTTCCCATTGGGGAGCGAATGAGGGGGTCCCATTGGGGGGGGGATGGGAGGGTGCCATGGGGGAGGGATGGGGGGGGTCCCATTGGGGAGGGGATGGGGGGGTCCCATTGGGGAGGGGAGGGGGGGTCCCATTGGGGGGAGGGTCCCATGGGGGGGGTCCCATTGGGGGGGGATGGGGGGGGTTATTGGGGGGGCCATGGGGGGTCATGGGGGGGTCCCATTGGGGGGGGATGGGGGGGTCACATTGGGGGGGTCCTATTGGGGAGGGGATGGGGGGGTCGCATTGGGGAGGGGATAAGGGGGGTCCCATTGGGGGGGGGATGTGGGGGTCCCAGGGTTAATGGGGGGGGGATTGGGGGGTGATGGGGACATGGGGGGGGGGGGTCACATGGGGGGTCCCATTGGGGGGGTCCCATTGGGGGGTTCCCATCCTATGGGGGGTTCCCATTGGGGGGGTCCCTTTGGGGGGGTCCCATTGGGGGGTCCCTTTGGGGGCATGGGGGGGCATTGGGGGGGTTAATGGAGGGATGCCATTGGGGGGGATGGGGGGGTCCCATTGGGGGGGTACCTTTTTGGGGGTCCCATCCTATGCGGGGTCCCATTGATGGGGGGGGTCCCATTGGGGGTCCCATGGGGGAGGGATGGGGGGGTCCCATTGGGGGGGTGATGGGGGCATGGGGGGGGGAAAGGGTTAATGGGGGGGGCCCATTGGGGGGGTGATGGGGACATGGGGGGGCAGGGTTAATGGGGGGGTCCCATTGGGGGGGGTGATGGGGGCTGGGTTAATGGGGGGGGGTCCCATTGGGGGGGTGATGGGGCATGGGGGGGGCAGGGTTAATGGGGGGGTCCCATTGGGGGGGTGATGGGGGCATGGGGGGGCAGGGTTAATGGGGGGGGTCCCATTGGGGGGGTGATGGGGGCATGGGGGGGGGCAGGGTTAATGGGGGGGGTCCCATTGGGGGGGGGTGATGGGGGCTGGGTTAATGGGGGGGGGGCCCATTGGGGGGGTGATGGGGCATGGGGGGGGCAGGGTTAATGGGGGGGGTGATGGGGGCTGGGTTAATGGGGGGGGTCCCATTGGGGGGGTGATGGGGGCATGGGGGGGGCAGGGTTAATGGGGAGGTAAAGTTTAAGGGGGGGGGTGGGTGTTTTGGGGTGTTTTTGTGGTGATTTTGGGAGTTTGGGGATGGGTTTTGGAGTTTTGGGTTGGTTTGGGCTGTTTTGGGGTGGTTTTGGCTGGTTTTGGGGGTGTTTTGGGGCTGTTTTGGGGGTGGTTTTGGGCTGGTTTTGGGGTGTTTTGGGGTGTTTTTGGGGTGTTTTGGGGTGTTTTCGGCTGGTTTTGGGGGTGTTTTTGGGGGTGTTTTTGGCTGTTTTTGGGTGGTGTTTTTGGGCTGGTTTTGGGGGTGGTTTTGGGGTGTTTTTGGCTGTTTTGGGGCTGTTTTTGGGGGTGTTTTTGGCTGTTTTGGGGCTGTTTTGGGCTGTTTTTGGCTGTTTTGGGCTGTTTTGGGGGCTGTTTTGGGGCTGTTTTGGGGCTGGTTTGGGGCTGGTTTTGGCTGTTTTGGGTTGTTTTGGGCTGTTTTTGCCTGGTTTTGGGGCTGTTTTTGGGCTGTTTTTGGCTGGTTTTGCCTGGTTTTGGGGCTGTTTTAGGCTGTTTTGGGCTGGTTTTGGGGGTGTTTTGAGGCTGTTTTTGGCTGTTTTTGGCTGTTTTGGGCTGTTTTTTGGCAGTTTTGGGGCTGGTTTTGGCTGGTTTTGGGCTGTTTTTGGCTGTTTTTGCCTGGTTTTGGGGCTGGTTTTTGGCTGTTTTCGGGCGCCCCGGGCCCGCCGGCACCTGTTTGAGCTGCAGCTCGCAGTTGAGGCGCACGTTGCAGACCTGGCAGTGGAAGCAGCGCTCGGGGGGGTCCCGGGGGGGGGTCCCCCCTGCAGCCCCCCCCAGGCGGGGGAAGGCCCGGATGGGGCCCAGCCCATTGCGAGCCTCCAGCAGGGTCTTGTGCTTCGTCCCTGGGGGGGGGGGGGCACCCATTGGCACCCATAAGGACCCCAAGTGGGACCCCCCCCCTCCCCCAGCACCCATCAGACCCCTCCATGCCCCCCCCCATGTCCATTGTGTCCCAAGACCC